GTCTACCATTACAACAACTTAGGTATTGCTATCCTTGACACCAGACAATTAGAGAACGGCAATGCAGACGTAGTACTGGCCCCAAAGGCTTGCGCAGTTGCTTCCGACCGCCGGGTTCCAGGCGTAGAAGTTATTCAGAGTAATACCCGACTTAGCCGCAATATCGTAGCACGTGTCACCACCTACAACCAGATGGAAGGTCTTGCAGCTTTTAGTCATGCCTTCCTGAATTGGTGTGGGCGTTGCGACACCATTGCCAGCTTTGGTGGTCGTAACCAGAGTAGTAGTGGGTGTCGAGCCGACGACGCCGACACAGATGTAAGTGTCCAACCACAAGCTGGCGCACGTGTTTCCAACAGCCGGGTTCCACTTATACAGGTCAGCGAGGGCAATGCCGTTGCTGGACGCAATCGCCGCGCAACCATCTCCGCTCTTAACCTTATAGAACTTGTTACAGTTACCAACCATGCCTTCTTGAATCGGCGTAGGAGTGCTGATGCCGTTCCCCGGCGCCGTGGTCGTCGTTGGGGGAGCTGTCGTTGTGGTGACCGGGGCTGTGTATCCGATCACGCGAACGCAGACGTAGACATTAGCCCAGAGGCCGGCGCAAGTGCTACCCACAGCAGGATTCCATTCATAAAAGTCAGACAGCAGGATACTGTTAGCGGAAGCTAAAGACGCGCAGCCGTCCCCAGTCTTAACCATGTAGAAGCGGTTACAGTTGTCAACCATGCCCTCTTGGATAGGAGTAGGGGTGGAGATGCCGTTACCAGCCGTTGTGGTCGATGTTGGTACAGTCGTGGTAGTAGGAGCACTGCTGCCAATGACGCCTACGCAGACGTAGACATTAGCCCAGAGTCCTGCGCATGTATCCCCGACGGCGGGGTTCCAGGCGTAGAAGTCGGATAACGCGATGCTGTTGCTGCTGGCGATAGCAGCGCAGCCGTCTCCCGTCTTGACAAAGTAGAACTTATTGCAGCTAGTCGTCATGCCCTCCTGGATGGGGGTCGGGGTAGAGATACCGTTACTCGGAGCAGTTGTCGTTGCCGGCGGCTGGGATGTGACTGTTCCACCGCTAACAATACCGACACAGACGTACACCTCAGCCCAGAGACCGCTGCAAGTGTTCCCAACTGCTGGGTTCCAGCTATAGAAGTCTGTAAGGGCAATACCATTGTTGTTGGCGATATTTGCACACCCATCTCCCGTCTTGACGAAGTAAAACTTGTTGCAGTCCTTGGTCATTCCATCCTGGATCGGAGTTGGCGTCACGACTCCATTACCAGGGTCGCTGGTCGGCGTCGAGGCAGCACTGGTGGTGGTAGTAACTGGCACTTCAGGAGGAATGCCCCAGTTTCTCTCAATGCAATAAGAGTTTCCGGTAACAAGCTCGCAAGCCGTAGCGAGAGAGGGGTTCTGTCTTGTCAGTCTGGATGACACGCGACAATGGAACGGGCAGCACTCACGTATGAGGTGAAATCAGAGACTTCAAGACCGTAGGAAGTTGCAATCGCGTCGCAAGTCTCAGAGGATTCGGCAACGTGCCACCAAGTGCAGTCTGATGGCGTATTCGGATCGGCGGTAGAAGGCGGCTCGACATCCCATGACTGGGCGACGACGGACCACGAAATCTGGGCCACAAGGACCGCAAAAGATTGGAGTCTCATTGTGGAAAATACCAGACTGAGATATTCAGATTGAGTGATTGATGAGTTGAATATGGAAAAGATAGTTGGGATCAGTTGAAAAACGAGTGTAAGGCCAAATTAGGCGTGCGACAACGAGAGCACAATTCCAATAGAATGTGATGCTGCTACAAATCAAGAAGCAGTCGTGGTTGAGAAGATCTTCTTTTTGTATTCCCTATTGTACTGTCAGTTCATCGTGAAGATACAGAACGTCGCCTCTAGGCAACAGTTTTTGAAAACCCATGGTAAGATAATTCTGGTCCGCACTCACTTGGAGAGGCAACAGGTAATCTCGAACATGCATAGCTGACAATAATCATGCGCCTGACGGATGCATCAATAGTTCCACCCTTCATCTCCATCCTGCTAGTTGAACTTCCGTTAGCTTGCCCTCGCTCCTTCAATCCGCCATGTTTTCTCACTGCCTGTGATCTATCGCGGCCCAGGTGATCTCCCGAAGCACCTGATGCCCCCCAAATAGAGTAGCAATTTTCACAGCTCGAAGCGCCAAGCCGGACTTCAGGATTCTGGACATGAGAGGGCACATGGTCTGTCACCTTGCCAAGCAAACCTCGGACGAGACGGCTCGCCCGAGGCTTATGCAAGCTGAGAGCGGGACAGTCAGGACCCTAGGTGTACCCAATGAGAACATCGCTGCCCCTGCATCAGGCAGGGGTGGTCTTACACTGCATCATCACCACACGAACCCATGCGAGGCAGGCATTTTACGATCATGTACTGTGACAAGGACACTGCTCTGCCTCGCCGTGGGTGATCAGTTGAGTTCCTTTATGTATATTGCGCTTGTTATTTCCGCATCTATCCGCGGAGCTTTTGTCAAAATCAAGTTAGCACATGACCTCCTTAAAAGTTGAGTTTGCGTGAACTTCTAGTCCTCAACAACCCTTGCCCCTGTGAATCCTTTTGCTACGCCTCAATCTAAGTTGCAGCAGCTTGGGCAATGTGCTATGGAGTATCGTGATGAGAATGCGCTGACTGTAGTTTGTTATCTTGGCTTAATCTAAGACTTTTGTCCATTCTAAAGCACCCCCAAGCATCCGTCGCCCGGCTTACGGACTTTGGTCGATATTGCCTTCATCTCTGGTGCAAGTCGCTCCGTCGTCGTGTTGTGGATGTGCCCCTCCACTGTCGGTCTTTGACGACACTCCCTCTTCACCACTGCCACTCGTTACAACCTTCGTTCGTTCCGCCTCACGTTCTTCACGCAAAAGCTGCTTGGCGCGGTGCCTGGCGCGTCTTCACAATCAATCATCCCGAAGCCATGGCCAACGTTCTGTTCTTGCGGCTTCGTGCCATTCTTTTCCTGTTCTTCTTGTCAGTCTTTACGGTTTCTTGTTTCAAATTTGACGACACTGCGATACACCTGAGTGGTGGGTTCAAACGTGGCACCCAACTCAAGTATAGCGGCGATGTAGGCACGCAGCCTCAGCCGAGCCAGGCAAAGCCTCTGTTCCGACGACAACCCAGGAAGCGCTCTCCTGTGCCTCGTTACCCTGCGCCCGTCATTCCGTCTAGCAAAGATGATGACTCATGGTCTGTTATGGTCGAGGAGCCGGACATGTTGTACATGAATCTGGGCCCTGCGTTCGATCTTTCAAACTGCGTGTTCTGTCCTACCCAGAACGATGGAACTGCCCTCGACGAAACGGATTCGGAGGCTATTCTCAAGCACATGACTTGGCAAACCTTCCTTCGGTACATCAAAGGAGACAAGGCGGCCCTTACCGATACGTGTGTCTTCTATTCCAAAGGTGTCACAACTGCTGGAGCAGCAACGGGTCTGTCCGTTGCTGCCACAGAATGGGCATGCGGAGAGTCCCAGAAGGCCCGGTACACAATCTGGGTATGCATTTCACACGTCTTTGGGAAGCCATTGAAGGTCCTTTAAGTGATGGAACTGACGAATGATCCCGTACAGAATCTGTTCACCAACAGCCTTGACGCTTCTAGTCACTCGGGCGTCCGAGACTTTTACGCCATGTTTACGCCCGGAAGCTGGCTGGATCCTGTCAGGAAAAAGCAGTTAGAGTTCGAGGCAACGAAACCTCCCGGAACAGTGCCACCGACCATCCGTTATTTCCAACAAATGTCGGCGGCCATGGCTGAAGCATGCTACGGAGACATCATCATCATGACGGAGACGCCGTCAGAACTCGCCCTCTACGAGCCAGGCAAGAAGTACCAGATCAAAGAATTGAACAACATCTTCTGGTCTCACGAGCGGCCCGTCCTCCAGCGAAAGGTGAAAGCGGGACAGGCAAAACTCTATGCACTGGACTCAACCACCAAAGAAGCCTGGGAAGTAAAAAACATCAACACGTTCGAGCTTGGCTCCCCGATAAAGTTCAGGCGAGGTCTGCAATCGGTCAACGAGGCGTCTAATGTCTTTGGACGGTCCAAGTTGCAGGCCCGGGCCAACATGTGCCAGAGCAACGGACTTGGCTCTCAGGGACTAGGCCAAGACTGGTTTGGATCTTACGGAAGCAATGGGTGGTAGATGGGAAAGGTTACAAGGACGAGTTCAATCGTCGACAGCTGATTTCCAGACCTGTGGGCTTGGGTCTTTCTAGGTTCACTTACTTACATCTTCATACTCTCCTTGACAATATTTCTTAATCTTATCACTTTGCATGAGCCGACATAATCTGTTTTAAGACGGAAGGTTTTCGTTCATCGTCCCATTGTCGATGTCATCACGAATCAACAGGATATTTTCACAGTCAGAAGGCGGGGAGTGGCAGTTTCCTCTTCATTCAAAGTCGAAGCTATGCTCTACGCATCCATCGCACGAACCATGACAATCTGTGCCTCTTGGCCGCATCGACGTGAGGTGATGAGTTCAGCTTCGTGCCAAGCAGGTTGGGGTCCGATCCTTCGCGACCCGCTGCCCCACTGGCGGCCCCGGAGCGCCGTCCGCCACCAAGCCTTAAAAAGCCGTGGATGGAGATTACAGACGGATTCGGAAATGTAGCCGGGACGTTGCCGCCCCTCGGTCCGAACCTTGAGCAACGCCAAGATCGCGGAAAGACGAACGGATGCACGGCCCCCACGTTCCTCCAGCTCCCCGCTTCCTTCGTGCTGGAAGCAAACCAATCGCGGGTTAGCGGTAAGCGCTCATGCGAGTCCCGTCCGTTATCGGGCCACATTTCTGCCCCCCAATTCCCACATATGTTGACCGGTGTACTCGAGCGGAGACGGATCAGGCAAACAGCCTTATACTAGTATTTAAGATTGATTCCAGCCCGAGGATCAGTCTAATTTCCGCTTTCCCAGGAATCATCGACACGCGACATGGAAGTTTACAGGAATCCCGAAGGATCGGGGTTGAGAGTTTCCTTGCGCTCTTCCCGAGATTGGAACCACGAGATTAAGAACGAATTTGCCGACCCTACGGAAACTTGCTTCGTTCGGCTTGCCACCCAGTATGCTGCAAAGTATCTGTCGTTGAGCGATTACCTGGATGGCGTGTTGTCTCACTTGAGGAAAGGAGCGACGAAGCACAAGTGGGATGTACCACCAGAAGACATTAGTGACTTCCTAGAGCTGGACCTCTTCGCGGGGGCTGTTAAATCACGGTATCTCGATCCGGCCTTCGTACCTTTAGGAGAACATGGTGAGTTTCTCACGCGCAATTTCTTCCTGCTCCAGCTGACTCGAATTTTGCCACGTCAAGACTACTCTAGGATGAAAAGTCTCGCTTCTAGATTATGGATCACAAATGATCCAGACGAGTTTGACCAGCTCGGCCGAGAGGACCAGACCGACCTCTCAGCTTTGTTACCGGAAATTGCCGATCTTTTGCTAGTCATCTGCTACGTAAGGCGACACACACTTCTGTTCAGATACCTTATTGGTGTGTTACCGGGACCTCCCGATAGGTCCACCTTTGACCTCCTGAACGAGATGCTGCTACAGCCGCGAACCGCCTATTGGACCGCAATATACCAGCATTCACCAAAACAACAGAGCAACTCGGCAGACGAAATAAGCATGTGGACTGATATCCTCAACTTTGGCTGGGTGCATGATCCAGTGAACTCAGAGACAGAGCGGTTCCTGCAGCATGGAATACGCAGCCAAGATCCTGGTGTTGCAAGGGACGACAGCGTCGAATTTGGGAGCCAGAAGCTGAGGAACCTTCACCTTGCGTTAGCCTCAAGGGGACTTTACTGTAGTGTGTCATCGCTTGGTGACTATCTGGCGAGCTGCAAATCACTCGACCAAGCTCTGGACTTCCTCACGATATTCCCCGGCGACAAGGTCAGGCCGCCGGGTCGCGACTTGTACGAATGGGAGTCTGGAGGCCTGGTGGGTAGCATTGCCAGTTCTTCAAACCTGGATGGGAAGTTGCGGACGGATATCATGAGACTCGCCCTTAGTCGCGTCGAGGGCGTGGACGTCAACGCCCCATTTAACTCCAATCCATGGGAAGATGACATGCCGGGGAGAAAGCCAACGCCCCGCATGACCGGTCTACAAGTCGCAGCTTCCAAAGGGGACCAAGAGCTTGCCGAGGTTCTCGTCCAGTACGGAGCCCGAGCTGATGCGGTGGAGTACATAACAGGGTTGGATGCGGCAGGGTTTGCGCGGAAGAGCGGGCATGTGGGTTTGGCTGAATGGCTTGACGGTTTATCTCGGGAGTAGAAACAAATCTTTGATCGTCAGTTGGTTCAGGAAAGCCTGTGTGTGGACGGAAGTATATGTGCCAAATATTGTCACTTGGCATGGTTCGCGTTAATTTGCGGCACCCACATCGCAGGGCGGGGAGAGGCGAACTCCTTTGTGAGCTCAGCGGGCAAGGGTAATAGAGCAGGAGACGAGCTAATCATTTTGCCTATCCTCCACTCGACCTGGCCACTCGGGACGCCGATTCGCTTCCTTTCTTGTTACCAAATTATCGTTGACAGTCAGGAGACAAAAACTTCTTATCAATCGATCTAATCTTAATGACCGAGAAGGGTAGGGCTGGTCGTTGACAAGGATCATCGAGCTGGCCCTTCAGAAGTTCTTTTGAGGCTCCACTCCATGCCGAAGCCAAGGCCAGGCAGCGACTCTCATTCAATGTGATCCAGGCTTCGTCTGCTGATGTAACCTAATACACAGTCCTGAGGGGTTCAGTCGGACTGAAATGCGAACAACTGCGCCTGTTGAGTGGCGTGAGACATAAGACGCGCCGCTGCCGGGTTCGAAAGCGGCGCAGAGTTGCCAAGTCTAAGGATTGCGTTGCATTTGAGCACACATGAGTCGAGTGGTAAGCGAGTGACGAGCGGATAAGATGAGTCCAAATTGATAGTTTGTTGTAAAATTATTGTTACAGTCAGAAAAGCAGCCCACCAAACCAGCTCCACCATACATCATGTGCCCTGTGCTTGATTATCCTCGTTGCTCCTCACAGGCAACCCCTACTGCTTACGCCGGCGGCGACCAAGAGGGAATGGCAACGCAATAGTCGTAGTTCTTGACGACTCCGGAACCTACGCTGGGTTAGTAACCGCGACTTGTGGAGCCAGTGGTCTTGATTGAGACTTACAATCCGATCCTACCGAGGGGTTCCACGCCACAAAGCGAGCCTGTGGGATCTTGATGTTATTCACAAACTGATCGCAAGGACTGGTGTCAGCTACAATGAAGCATCCGCTGGTTAGCAATTTTCTGGGGCGGGAAAGAATGTAGAGCGATGTCACCTTCGGTGGCGTTTGCGATGACCCAACGGGTGCAGCTTGAGACTTGACCTAGCAGTTGATCAGCATATACTTGAGCAAGAACCGGTGATGGTAGAGTCCTCACCTGCGGGCCGGAAATGTTTGACACCCGTGCAGAAAGTGTAACCTGGTTTGTCGTGTCAGTCGACGCCAGATGAGCGGATTTATCGAGTTAACTTGACATACCTGTGTGGAAGTTCTCGCATTCTGTCCCAATATCCGGATTCCACTCGTTGAGGTGCGTCACATTGACCCCAAACCAGAACGCGTAGTCCGCGCAACTCCAGCCGGGCTCAGAAACGGTCTCTCGTACGCAGTACTCGGTCATATCCGGCCATCGTCGCTCGTCGGGCGACACGCAGTAGCGGTATCCGCCCTGGAGCTCGCACTCGCTGTCAATGCCAGCGGTGATCGCAAGATCCGGGTTCCACTCCTTGAGATCATCCAAGCTGACATCGTAGATCGCAGCAACGTCCTCGCAGTCGTACGTCAACGTAGCATTCAGCTCAATCGGCGCTTCTGCGTAGTTTGCGCAGTCCTTACGTGTTCCGTTCGCAAGGGGATTCAGCACGCCCAAGTTAGGAAGTAAATCTGCCCGCGTTGGGCTCGGCATGGCTTCAAAAGTCTCAAACTCCACGGTTGGCGTGCTTTATGATGAATGTTAGCTGGTTTCTAGAGAAAGGTTTTGGCTTCTGTCAAGACTCACGGGTGGATCGCGGTTGTTTTGGGCGAAGGCATGTCGACCTCGTCCTCGGGGAACGGGTGAACCCAAGAACCACCGGGATTCGAGGCGCAGAGGATGTAGCCCCTAGATGCAAAGTTGTCGATGTATTCGCAAGCTTGACCGAGCTCAGGGTTCCAGGTCACGACCTGCGTCCAGCTGATGTCGTTCCTCGACGCCACGTCCCGGCATTTATCACCCTTGACCATCTCGTACGTTTTGCAAGAAATGCTGTCGGGAATACAGATCGTTCCAGAACTGGGGAAGTTGGAACAGAACGCCGGAAGGTGGTTGGCGGTGAGCAGCTGTGAAGTACTAACACCACGACTCTTGGAAATGCTCAAGCAAGTGTCGCCGGACTGTATGGTGTACGTCGTCCCAACGCACTCGGGGGTCGATGTAGGTTCAGAAGTTGGGCTAAAATTACGTTGGTGTCAGTCAAGATCGTGAATCTCCACAGATAACTTCAATTTGACCGTGAGAGTGACTGACGGAATAGCCCACGTAGTTTCTGCTGGTGTTGTAATGGCTATGGTGGTGCTGCCGCAAGACGATGTCAAAGATGAAAACTTCGATGCTATCAGCTCGTCCGATGCAAGAGGTTGTTGGATGCGCAACGCAATGCTTGAGAGGAAGCAATTGTCGCAGGGAAGAGTCGGCTCTTTACTCATGTTGGTTAGTTTCAACCCATGGGCTTTCGTTAAACCCATTGAAACATTAAACGCACCTGGGGCTGCCGATGTTGTCATCGCATCTGGGTCCATGTGAAGGGCGTCGCGAATTGCAGCATTGCATCTTCGACCAGACCTTGAAGATGAACATGAAGTTGTTAGCGAGCCAAATACCACCCGCAGAGTTTGGAAAACATGAACTTACGAGTCCTGGAGACAAACAGCTTGGTATGCCTCATAACGCTCCTGAAAGTCATACGTGGCTAGATACGACCACCCTTCATGGTCAGTGTACCTGCTATTGCCGCATGCGCCGGCAACTCTCCGCTGGTACGTCGTGAGAGCAGTGGTACAAGCGGTGGTGCACAATGAAATCAACACCGCATCAGTCTCGTAAAAGGCCGCATCAATATCCAGAAGCACGGCATCGCAATTGACGCCTTGGTTCAGTACTTGAATGCAGGAGCTGGAAAGGCCATCGGGAGTATTCGTGATGTTGGCAAGATAGACAAGACCCAATGCCCCGGGAATATGGCTAGCCAGTAAGGCCAAAGAAATACTAAGGACCACCATCTCTGCTCCAGAATGAACAACTACGGCAGAAGACAGAAGAGTCAATCTCGAGGACTTAGGAACGGATGAGTCCTCAATCTCTAGTGTTCAAATGGCCGGGATCTCAGAGACGGACTCGGAAGAGTGCAATCGCTTGGTCCGTTAGCAGACTTCAAATGGCGACCAGCGAGCGGGCCCCTCATTCACCTTCTCACGAAGTATTCCAGGCAAGCTGCTGATGGATCTGACATTCCGGGCATGGATGCAATTCTCGATGTTGCATTCGAGTGGCCCCTGCCTCTGTGGGTCCGTCCGCGTCCCCTGCAGCGTGCATTATTGCAGCTTACGCCCAGAGAATTGACGAGAAGTGCCACCCACGACACGCATGTAGAGGTACATCTCTTTAGCTCATCGTGGATTTCAGTCGGTCTGCCCTCGTGGGAACGAGATCCCAGTAAATTTTTTCGCACACTGAAGGCCGAGAATGTGGCGATCTCGGCTCATGTCCTGTTTGGGTCAGTCAGCCTATGAGCTCGCCGACCACCAAATACGTACAGGCACCGACTCAGATTATTGCATCCTAAAGCTTTCCCGTTGTCCTTGCAATAGAAATCATCAGGTAGGGAAGGATACTATCCTACCGCCCAAGTTTCAAGGCAACCTTTCTCAATCTTTGACACACTTCATGCCAGTAATTCAGGAGATCTTCTGCGTCCACCAGACCATCTAAACTCCTCCATCATGGGGCTGTTTACATTGTCCGATCCGCCTCAACCTAGGCTACTTTCCTTGTGGACTGTAATACTCTTCTTGTCATTCTTTGCGCAATCTGCTTTTGGCTCAAGCCTGACGCCCGTATCTCCAAATCCGTCTGTTTCTGGGCACCTTCTTTCTGAACGTCAAACCGGATGCTCTAATGAAAACCCTTGCAGAAATCCCACAGCATGCTGTAATGGGAAAAGGTGCGTCTCTTCATGAAGTGAATGTGCGTCCACACCGTCGAACCGGGCTAATCTCGACGTAGTGGCTTTGTACGTGGCAAGAGATCTCTCGGGGTCAGACAACGCTTCCTGAGCCCTCACTAATGATGTTTCAGTGTGGCTACGAGGAAGATCACTGCGGTCCCGATTGCGTTTCTGATTGCGACTCCAAAGCCGACTGCGGCGCGTACGCTGATCCACCTGGCAAAGAATGTCCTCTGAGAGTGTGTTGCAACAAATGGGGTAACTGCGGCACCACCGAGGTAATGTCCATTATGAACAAGGACAAGAAAGTTCCTGCTCGCTCTTTCCACTTCTGACTTACATACTGATCGCATCTGTAGTCTTTCTGCGGTGACGGATGCCAGAGCAACTGCGAAGTCCCCGCTGTCACCACGGGCCATGATGGTGATGTCCGCGATCTCGTCATCGGCTACTTCGAAAGCTGGATTCTCCTTCGGAGAGGCTGCTCGCAGAGAGACATAAGCCACGTGCGCTTCGACTCTATGACGCACATCAACGTGGCCTTTGGCTTCATCAAACCCGACACCTACGAGATTCATCCTATTCGCGGCGCCACCATCGCTGGTTTCCAGACCGTCACGAACCTCAAGCAGCGCGCGCCCGGTCTCAAAGTCTGGCTTGCTCTAGGCGGCTGGACCTTCAGCGACAACGGTACCGATACGCAGCCAGTATTCGGCGACATTGCCAGCACGTCACTCAAGCGAAGCATTTTTGTCGACAAGCTCCTCCGATTCATGACAGAGGTTCGTAGCTTCGACGACGTCTGATTGATACATGCTGACGATTTTCTCTCGGATCATAGTGGGGATTTGATGGGTGAGCTTCGTTGTGTCGTCTATTATTTCCGCTGTTAACACGCGCCCAGAGTTGACATTGACTGGGAGTACCCTGGTGCGCCCGACCGCGGTGGCCAGACCAGAGATATTCAGAACTTTGTTCTCTTAATGAAGGATATCTGGTTTCGTTTCCAGGCAGATGGTAAGGGACTGGGGGTCTCCTTCACCGCGCCGACCTCTTACTGGTATATGCGTTGGTTTGACATTGGCGCCGTCATGCCGTATGTTGATTGGGTCAACCTGATGACCTATGATATGTAAGTCACGATCTCAATCGTGGTGATCTCGACTAGAAAACCGGCCTGCTAATTGAGATCTAAATCCAGTCACGGAAGTTGGGACGAGGACTCTGACTGGATCGGGCCGTATGTCTATGCCCACACCAACCTCACTGAGATAAAGCATGGTCTCGATCTCTTGTGGAGGAACGGTGTGCCGGCAAACAAGGTCAACTTGGGCCTTGCCTTTTACGGCCGAACTTACAAGCTAGAAGACCCAGACTGTGATACCCCAGGGTGTGCTTTCGCGGACCCTGGAACGGCGGGACAATGCTCGGTAAGTGCCACTTCCGTGTATCTGGACACTCATGTATCTTTGCGTGTGAAGTACGAACTGTTGGCTCACATCATTGTAGGGGACTGGAGGCTATATGTCATACCAAGACATCGAGTACACTATCGACAGCAACAACCCGACTCCTGTCTATGATGAAAAAGAGAAGGTCATGTACTTCAAGTGAGTATAAACGTCTGAAATTGTTTTCTTGTTGCATTTCTGACGACGTTTATCCAGATATCGGGGCGATCAGTGGGTATCATACGACAACGAGAAAACCATTCGAGAAAAGGTCGAATTTGCCAATGACTTGGGGTGAGTAAAAAACAAGTCTTACCGCATCATTCTTGTAGCGCTAACAGCGGTGTCGCGCAGACTTCGTGGACTTTTCATCTGGGCCATCGATCAGGATAATTTGGACAACGATCTTTTGAACGCTGTTTTGCAGCCGGACGGCCTCGGGAAGTTCAAGAAGAGAAACGGAGTTGGCGCAGACGGCTCCGATTGGAAGAAGGTTGACCTGGACGGACGTTGTTTCTGGTCAGGTAAGCAATGGCCCAGCTCATGATATGCCGCACTGCGGAACATCACAGCTCACACACCCTCAGGCTGCGAGGACCCTTGTCCCACCGGAACGAACACAATCGCTACCGTTCGCTGCGCTCAAAAGAAGAAGGGCTCCAATACCAAGAATCCCATGATCAACCTGTGCTGTCCTCTGGCAAACTCTCCGGACCCAGAAACCTGCCGCTGGAGCGCGCCTAACCTTTTTTGGGGCTTGATCTGCGAGTCGACGAATTCCTGCGACGTTGGAGAGGAGCGCATCACCTCCAGCCAGTACTACATCAACGACAAGGGTGAAAACGATGCCTGCCTCGAGGGTCTCGCGGACTACTGCTGCAAGATCCAGGAGGGCGGCACGCAACTCTGCGAGTGGGACGAGGGCAACTGCATCGAGGTCGACCAGAGCCAGATCCTCAAACCGAAACCTAAGGGGAACGATCCGTGCGGCACCGGGAAGAAGTTTACCACGTTCCGCAAGGGCAAGTGCAAGAAGAACCGCTGGGAGGCCCTCTGCTGCGACACCGACATCGACACGTCGTCCTGCCGATGGCGGAACGACATGAACAACAATTGCAACCCCGAGTGCCACCAAGACGAGGTCAAGTTCGGCACCCACGCCGAAGGTGGCGGTCGCAACTGCGAGTACACCATCCCCGGCTCCGCGTCGATCCACAACATGCAGGGGCAGAAGCAGATCGTCTGGCCGGGCCTGTGCTGCGACCGCGACGCTTTCAAGGTGGAGCTTAAAAGCCTCCCAGTGCCGTTGGAGAACCTTTTCCCGGACGCCGACAAAATCCCGGAATCCGACGACCAGTCCTTCGGTGTCGAGGTCGACCAGACCATGGGAGGTCGGAAGTCCTCGAGCAGCAACGACAACCCCAACCTCAACTCCTTCGGCTGGCACATCATGTCAGGGCCCGAAGAGCAGATTAGCAGCATCGACAAGCGCGACGGCTCGCACTGGGAGGTCTTCGACTGTGACGAGGAGTTTCATGACGGTCGGCAGCATGCCAAGCTGGTGTGCACCGACGAGTCGGAGGACAGCAACTGCGGTACTCTCTTCAAGGGTGGTGTCCCCAACACGGTCTTGGAGATGCCGGAGCATTGCGGTCCTGGCAAGTATGCTCTGGCGGTCGACATCGACCTGGTGAACGACGACGTTCCGGTGGCCCTGCCCAAGCTGGTGAAGAGGAAGCTCCAAAAGAGAGGGATGGAGTTCGAGAGGCCGAAGGTGTACAACTTGACTTTCGACTATGACTACTCCGTTCTTCAGGGTCGCCAGGACAACAAGGTCAGACTGCGGGTTGATTACAGCGACAACCCGGGTTATTGGAACGAAATCGTTGGTAAGTAACTGGATCTGCCCTTTCCACCCCTTCCTGTGATATTCATGTTGCTAATTCCGCAAACAAGCCTCTCCTCCTGGCAAGACAAAGCGAGATGTTGCCTTGGAAGTCGACTCAGACCACGGCGGTTCATGGGAGAGCTACCTGGAGCACCGATGGCGTACCGAGAAGCGCTCCACCCCCGAACACGAGAAGCATCTCCTTCACGAGCGGTGGTTCTCCCTTGCGCTCGTGGACTGGATCAACAAACAGAAAGACGTCGATATTGACTACGACCTCGTCCGCCACAGCGTCCGGGAAACCTTCGTCTGGAATCTTTTCAGGGACAGCAAGTCGTGTCCGAATTTGGACGCGTCTGCACACATTTGGACCGAGTTGACCGTCAACGTCGACACTTCGGCCGTCATTAGTCTCATTGGCGACTTGTCTAATCTCAAGTCCTTCGACCAATCTCACGCGACGTTCCGAAACAAGGGAGACGTCGAGGCGAGTTTCAACTTCGTGGCGAACGCCGAGTTGAGATTCAGTACTGGACCTGCCGAGCTTGCTGGTAAGAGCCGCCCCATCATATTCGCTTTGCACTTCTGCGCCATGACGTTCGGGCAAGGATCGTAACCCGAGAATTATCGTGATGCTAACGATATGCTTCCCAGGACTCGCCCCGCTAGGTGCAAGCTTCCAGATCCCTGGAATATTGACTTGCGGTCCTCAGTTCC